AAGTAGAGGCCCACCCCCCCCCCACCCCCCCCCCCCCCCCCCCCCCCGCCGCCGTCCCCCCTTGTTGAGTTCCAGGGTAAACACAAAACGGCTGCTTCGGCACAAAAGCATCCAATCTTCCCGCTGCCTTCCCCAGCCTGCTGCTCCTCGTCCTTGCGCCTTCTCACGTTGACAGGATGCTGCGCTGTGCGCATCGGCTGAGTGAGCTCATCTCAACACTGAAGCACTGTGAAGTCACACAACACAAGTGGAGCGCGTACACCCACTTTTCCTCCAGTCCGTGCAAGAGTATCATCGGATTCTAGAATAACTAAGGGGGGGGGGGGGGGAGGGGAAAAAAAAAAAAAAAAAAAAAAGAAAAAATCCTGGACCCCACATTTACGTCGACAGCGACGTAAAAAGATAAAAATCAGAATTTATTGAAAATATTTGAAATAAAGTTTAATCTAAAAACTCCATGTTTTTTTATTTATTTATTTTTTTGATGCAGATTATATTGTGGGGGGAAAAAAAAGATAAGCTCGTGTCTGCACCCTGCTGGTTTTTTGGTGGAATTTATTTAAAAATGACAGGAAAATGACAAAAAGGCTTTACAATGCAGTAAAAAAAAAAAAAAGTTAAAAAAAAAAAAAGAAAGAAAAATAGCAATAATACAATTCAAATTAAATGTTGGTATACACCGGTCTGCATTCGAAGGAGTAACATATACAGTTCCTACACATCTAGAAGCTGCTTAAGCTTAGTGTTAAAGCATATTTTTTCAATAACGAATGCCTCCAAAAAGGAAAATATAAGAAAAAAGTAAAGGGATATGACTGGATTTTTTTTGAATGAAGTAAATTAGTAAAACTGAAGTACATTTTTTCACTGTGTATCACTACGACCAAGTACCAAATGACCTACAGACCGGCACGGGTCCCCGGACCAGGGGTTGTGCACCTCTGATCTTGCAGCTTCTCAAGCCTTTAATACAGTAAAAAGCAGTGATAAAATTAAAAAGAAAAAAAAAAGATGTAACTTAGTTTTAAACTTGGCTATTTTTTTTTGTATTTCTTCTTCTGTGAATCCATTAAATTGCGTTGGTCAGTGGAAATGCTGCCTTCGTCAAACGGATTAAAACTCAATTTCAGTGCTTGTTTGAATTTGGTTTCTATTTTGGATTTTAAGAAAGTGTAGCGAAATTTGAAATAATTCAGTTAACATGATTACGAGAGCCGAATAAAATATCACTGTGTGGCAATTTATTTAAAATGACTAAAAAAAAAAAAGTTGTAAAGTTCAGAAACTGTCCACACAGATGCGAACGTAAAAGAGCATCATCACTGAAAAAAAAAAAAAAAGAAAAAAGAAAAAAAAAGCCATATTATATTCTAAATTCATTACTCATACGCACACACTGCAATTCCTAATGAGAATATGCACTAGAACCCGACTCGTGCGTTTTGTTGGCGCATCGTAGGGATTTGAAATTACATGCCACCAAAATGTCTCCCTGCATTAGAGGATCTCATTCATCACACACCTTCAACTCACCGGGAGAGCCAGCCTGACACCAAGTACTGGGTCACCAATTAATTGCTGCATCTCAATCTGAGCGGGGAGCAAGCGTTGAAATATATATATATATTTATATTTTAAATTATATATATATTAATATATAATATTTGCTAACGCTGCATAAAGTGAGGTGAACTGACTCTGCATCACTGGTTTCCTGTTAGTCTTTGTCGTTGGGAATATTCACTTTGAGTAAATGTTTAACAGCAAATGGAAGATTAATTAATTGACCTGACCAATATTTATTGGCTTTTATTTCAGTGGACTCCTAATCCTAACTAAGACGCTCAAATACTACAATACAAGGGTCCTCGGTTTATGACGTCCTCGATCTACAGCGCTTCCTGGTTACGTCGCTATCTCCCGTAGAGTTATCCCATCATTCCGACATAAGGCGAAACTTGCCCAATAATCTGCATAACTACAGAACTAGTTGGCGAGCATAGCGGACGACTAGGTCGCCACCTGGTGCTATACACCAAAGACGACTTGATTACCTTTGCCGGTTGTACTCCATACAATGGTTTTTTTGGGGGGGAACTTTTTGCCCTTCATTATGACTCCCAGGCATACGTCAGACTCCTCTGATGTGTTTATGTCCCAGATTATGATGTTACCACTGTGTTAGCGTAGCTGAGTGACACAGGTACTTATACGGAGTATGTGGGTTCCGGCTTAAGGCGATATTTAAGTTAAGTCGCAACATAGTAATGTAACGCCCCCGTAGCTGTGTTTGCCGGAGCCGGAGTCAACCCCCAGTAATCATGGGACAAAAGTGGAGTAAACCCCTTAAGAGAAAAAAGTTCGCATTTTAGCTAACATTCATATTTATCGTCAGTGTAGTGTCCAATCAACCTGATCCCCAATCCGTTTTCGGACTGGGGACCATCACTACAAGAATAAACTCAGTCAATCAAACTGGTGATGTTTTTGCTGTCAGACAGTGATCACCAACTGGAGGCTCACGGGCCAAATCTGGCCCAACGTGCCATCCAATCACGACTGATTTCCAAAACAAACCCCGAAAAAATATTGTAAGAGAAAAAATGTATTTTTATTTCATTTGATTTGCGTGTCTGGCCCCCAAGGTGTCTGTCTAGAAAAACTCTGCCCCGCCCGACAAATATATTTAGTGACACCTGCTGTAAGGCAGGAGCACTAACCACTGTGCTTACCACATCCTCACTTTGACCTATAATATTACACTATACCAAATCAAACGGTGCGGTAACAGACCACACACAGACAGACACCAATCTGGGACTGTTTGCCTCACGCAAATATAAAGGTTGTGTTGAGGAGCATGAAATCTCGTATCAGGTCAACACTGTGTAAAAAAATGCCCTCGTTTTATTTGTCAAATCTAATTTTGTTACATGTTTGCATGGACTCGTTTGAAACATGGAGATCTCTGAAAACAAGACTCACACATCAACAATGGAGGTGACTGCTTGAGGGGGCGGGAAAGTGTGGACGGCTGATTGGAGCACAATGGTTACCAGGTGTTTGGCACTCCGAGGAGCGTGGGAGGGTTCAGCGGATTTTTTTTTTTCTAGTCAGAATGTGTTCCTTCTTTGCCGCCGAGAGAAGAGAGTTCTCCATCGCCAAATGGCCTTGTGTGTAAATTCCTACTGTTGTCACACTTCTTACTGGTCTACGAGTCGCGCTGCGGGTGGTTGGTAAACAGAGTGAGACTCGCCGGCTGCAGATATGCCGTAGCGCGGCATTAAACTATTGACAACGAAGAGAAGCAGCAAATCAATGCTGAGTACGGAGCACAATCACAGCGAAAGAAAATCATATTGACCTGTGGGGTCTGTTATCTGAGCCTCTCGAAAGTTCT